TAAATAAATCTCTTTTGGGGGTTTTATTTCCCTTTGTCTTTTACTGACACTGGACCCCTGTTGCACAAAAAATCTGTACAGAGAGGTCTATTTCTCACATCTCTTAAAGATTTGCCTAAAATGGGACAAGGCATTGTCATTGAACATGTTGCAGACATCGTTCGCAACAACTTTGTTAGGGTGATATTTCTCCACAAAACTTTGCAACTCATTCCACTTTGTACACATGTCCATAGTCACTGCTGCTTCATGTTGTCTGCCACTACTGCTTCATGTTGTCTGCCACTGCTGCTTCATGTTGTCTGCCACTGCTGCTTCATGTTGTCTGCCACTGCTGCTTCATGTCATGTTGTCTGCCACTGCTGCTTCACGTTGTCTGCCACTGCTGCTTCATGTTGTCTGCCACTGCTGCTTCATGTTGTCTGCCACTGCTGCTTCATGTTGTCTGTCACTGCTACCTCATGATGTCTGCCACTGCTACCTCATGATGTCTGCCACTGCTACCTCATGATGTCTACCACTGCTACCTCATGATGTCTGCCACTGCTACCTCATGATGTCTGCCACTGCTACCTCATGATGTCTGCCACTGCTGCTTCATGTTGTCTGCCACTGCTACCTCATGATGTCTGCTCCCACTTTTGCTAGAGTGTTGAAGAGCTTTCCAATATGTGAAGGTTGAGGGGCAGTGCCAATCGGTACTGCCCCTCAACTGGGTGGTGACGTCATTTGTTTACTGTTGAACATCGCCAAAGAATCGAACATTTCTGCATAATCACAGACAACACCACAGACCACTACCCTATCTTTCTCATAACCAACCTAGGTAAATTGCCCCAAGACACCATTAAAGTTATCTTCAGACTGCATAACGAAACAGCTGTAAATAACTTTATAGCAGCTATGAATAATGTTGACTGGCATAATAAGCTTGAAGCATAGACAGACTACAGTGGACCCCCGCATAACGATGGCATCACATAGCGATTTTTCCGCATACCGATTACTTTTATCGCAAAATTTTTGCCGCGCATACCGATTAAAAACCCGCTTACCGATTTTCGTCCGAGACACGTCCAATGTGCCCTCAGCCAGCCTCACATGTGCCGGCCGTCCCATTGTTTACCAGCCAGCCTCCGCGGTAACATCCAAGCATACACTCGGAATATTTCGTATTATTACAGTGTTTTCGGTGCTGTTTTCTGGAAAATTAAGTGACCATGGGCCCCAAGAAAGCTTCTAGTGCCAACCTGGGTAAAAAGGGTGAGAATTGTATGGAAATTAAAAAAGATTTTGAAGGGTTTGGGGCTAACCTGAGAAGCCTATGCCAGTTGTGGAATCCATTGTGCCTACTTCAAGATTAAGGAAATTGTGCACAGTGGGTTTGAACTGCAAACCTTTATAGATGAAAATCACCCTGACACAGCTGTTGCAAGCCGTGCTGGTGACTATTTCAATGACAATGTTGTGGCCCATTTTAGACAAATCGTAAAGGAACAGGAGGTACAGAGCTCTATGGACAGATTTGTTGTGCGACAGAGGTCCAGTGACTCTCAAATCGGTCCTAGTGGCATTAAAAGAAGAAGGGAAGTACCCGGAAAGGACTTGCTACCTCAAGTCGTAATGGAAGGGGATTCCCCTTCTAAACAGTAAGAAGATAATTTATTTATTTATTTATTATAAATTTGTGCACACATACAGAGGTACAAAAAAATACAGATAAGAGCAGTATGCCAAAGCCACTTTTTACTATGCATAGCATTACGGGCTGGCTTAAAATTAACTTAAGATTAATTAAGCAATGATGAAGTCAGTGATAAAACATTAATGTAAACAGATTACTATGAAGCACAAGTGAGTATTACAAAGACAGGTCATATGAAGGATTCTGTTAGGTAGTGTATTTAAAAAATAATAAAGTTAGATTGGGTTTTAGGTTTAATCATTATGTGATATAATTGTGAGAAACATTTAAGATATACAATTTAATAAGGTTCAGTTATTCAGTATTTATTTGGGTTTTTGGGGTGAGTAAGTGATCTTTGAGTAGGAGCTTGAATTTATAAACAGGTAGTGTTTCTTTTAAAATTTACAGGTAATGAATTCCAGATTTTAGGCCTTTTATGTGCATTGAGTTTTTGCATAGTGTGAGATGAACACGAGGAACATCAAAGAGTGATCTGTGCCTTGTGTTATGGTCATGTGTTCTGTTGAGGTTGGCAAAGGAGATGTTTGAGGGGGGGGTTAATATCAAGTTAAGTGTTCTATGTATGTAATAGGGGCCCGTAATAAGTATGGATGTTTTGTATGGTGAGTAGGTTTAGTGTAAGTGTCATATAATTGTGCATGCCTTTTTCAGTTTGTGTGTATTAAAATTAACATTTCATGTGGTAAAAAAAAATTTTTTTCATACTTTTGGGCGTCTTGCACGGATTAATTTTATTTCCATTATTTCTTATGGGGAAAATTCATTCGCATAACGATTATTTCGCATAACGATGAGCCCTCTTGCACGGATTAAAATCGTTAACCGGGGGTCCACTGTATAATGAATGTAGTAATAATTTTATAAATAGAACCCACTACCTATATAACAATCATTGCCCTAAAAAAACTAAACAGCTCACAGCAGAGAGACTAGATAGTCCCTGGCTAACACCCACCATCCTCAAATCCATTAACACAAAGTACCAATATGAAAAACAGTACAGAATGTGTCAAATAACTAAAGACCAGTCTAAACGTTACTCATCAGCCCTTACCAGCTTGATAAGAAGGTCTAAAAAATTGTATTATGAAAACAATTACAAAACATCAAAGGTAATATAAAAAAGACCTGGAAAACCCTATTTGAAATTTTGGGAACTAAAAGGATATCCAAAAAAAAGAAAACAATCAAATTAACAAAATCAGATGAACCCCTACTCCCACCAACTGAAACAGCAAACAGACTCAATGTTTTCTTCTCCACCATAGGAAAGAATGTAGCAAGCAAAATCCCAAGCTCAAACACCTGTCCATCAGACTACCTCACAGGCACCTACCCACATACACTATTCCTAGCTCCAACCAATCAACAGAGGCCTCGCTCATCATCAATACCTTTAAAAACAAGGCAGGAGACATAAACAACTTGCCTACTTTTATGTACAAAAAAGCTTCACAATACTGTCACCAATTATGCAACACTCTTTAACAAATCCATTGAATCCTCCAACTTCCCAGCAGTTCTT